TAATAACATTGTTTTTATATTTGTTTTTAATTTTAGCTAAACCTTTAAAAAGTATTTTTTATTAGTTTTTTATTTTAGTCCATTTACTTTCTATTATAGTTTTTATTAATATTTTAAATTAAATATTAATTTAATTATAAATTAAACATGAAACACTATCAAACTTTTATTTTAGTATCACGAATACACTACTATAGTTTTTATATAAATAATTTTAATTCCTTTTTTTAGATTTTCCATATTAATTTTTAAGTTTCAGTAATCTTGGTGCTTTTGTAAGTTAAATTTTTTTTTTTTACAATGTTTGTATGTAGCTTTTATTTAGTTTCTACATATATATATATATATATATATATATACACATATACACACACATAATTATTGTAAAAACATTGTTTATATATTTGCTTTTAATTTTAGCTAAACCTTTAAAAAGTATTTTTGTTTCTATTTAAAAAATCTATTTCTGTTTTTATTATTTTTATTTCTGTTTTATTTTTAGTTATTTTAGTACATCAAGTATTTTTATTTATTAAATGTATTTTTTAAACATGTTTTATATTTTCCATTATTTTAATTTCGTTGAGTGTTCTGTCATTTTTATTAGTTTCTGTTATTTTAAAAATTTAAATTTTCTGTTTAGTTATTATTAATTTTTATTTCAGTTATGGTTTTAGTTGTTTTATTACATCAAGCTAAACTAAATGAAAACCCAGTTCAACTTGATTAACAAAAATTGCTTTGGCAACTAGCTGAAACAAAATAAGTACTTTTTAATATTTTATTGCATTTCAGTTAATGTTTATTTTGTTTCAAGGAACGAAATATTTTTGTATGGGTTTAGTTTACGAAGACTACCTTGCCTTGAAAGCATTTTAATTGAAGAGCAAATTCATTATTGTCTTTAAACATGTCTATATGTGACCCTGGAGCACAAAAGCAGTCTTAAGTCGCTGGGGGATATTTGTAGCAATAGCCAACAATACATTGTATGGGTCAAAATTATACATTTCTCTTTTATGCCAAAAATCATTAGGATATTAAGTAAAGATCATGTTCCATGAAGATATTTTGTAAATGTCCTACCGTAAATATATCAAAACGTAATGTTTGATTAGTAATATGCATTGCTAAGAACTTCATTTGGACAACTTTAAAGATGATTTTCTCAATGTTTAGATTTTTTTGCACCCTCAGATTCCAGATTTTCAAATAGTTGTATCTCAGCCAAATATTGTCCGATCCTAACAAACCATACAGCTATGGAAAGCTCATCAAAAACTTTACCCTTATGACTGGTTTTGTGCTCCAATGTCACATATCTTTATGAATGAGACAAATGGTCTGCTCACCGATTTCTCCACACATCGTCTGCTTCTGTCTCCTTTCTAAAGTTTCGGGTTTGACTTCAGAGACTCGACTCTCTTCACAAGAAACACAAGCATCTGGTTCTGCGTTTGTGTGGCGTGTGGGTTTCAAGGGTACTAAAACCGGGTTTGGCGGGTCAATGCAAAGACCTACAGCCTTTCTGGCGTCTTTGGATGGAGATGTCCATGTGTTTGGATCCAGGATTGGCGGAAGCTCCTTGTTGGGAAGCTCGGGAAGCGAAGGCCATTTGGTTCGGAAGTCCATCCGTTTGTCCTCCAGAGGCGGCTTCTTCTGTCTGAGGAGACGGTACTGGTCTAGACTGAGCGCTTTGGGCTTCTGAGAGGACGTGATGTCGTTTTTACAGGATGTGGATTCAGAAGTCTCCTCGTCGTCAGGTGGAATCTCGTGAATGGAGACTAAGTTTAATGCAAAAGTCACCGTCTTCTTCACCCGTCCCGCATCGCTGGTTTTGACTAAAGCGCAGCGTTTAGGTATCGTCTTAACGTTTCGGTGTGACGAGGTGGCATTTTCGTTCTGTGCATTTGGATTCAAGTCTTTTCCTGATCGGTCCAGAATGTTCTCTTCCTGTTCCTCGTAACCTTCTACATCAACAAACCCCTCCTCTTCCTCCTCTGCAGACACTCGCGTCTCTTTCTCGGTCCTGACGCAGTACGGATGCATGTGTCTCACTAAATCTGCAAGTAATTCCCGGCAGTCCTGTGGGAATATCGGGTCGGATTCGATCCGGAAGGTTCTCACAGATCGGCTCTTCTTCTCATCGTGGCCTCGCTGTGAGCTCTCGCTCTGCGTCCCTAAATGACGACGAGGTCTTAACTGTCTGTCTGACATAACGACCTCCTGAAGGAGAGAAAATAAACACACACAAAACACTGAGACACAACTCGAGGTCGAGCGATATACAGTGTTTAGTTTTTAATTGGCACTATCTTCGTCTTGGAAGTGTGATAAATATTGATATATAAACATTGATTTTTGTATTTTAGTTTGTTTCTGTAAACACAATTATTTTAAGTAACATTTGTTTTTTTTAGTTAATGATTATAACCTTGCTTTGAAAACATTTTAATCGAATATATTTACATTATATATATATATATATATAATGTGTAATATTTCATGTATATATATATACTTTGTGAATGTGTGTGCACAGAAAACATATAGTTTTAAAAATACATTTTAAGTAATTATGTGTAAAAGAAATACGAGAGCAAGGTAAAATACATATAATATGAATTATATATTTTACGTAATAAAAAACTGTACATGCCATGTGAAAATTACATTTTAAAAATGTTAATGTTCTTTTGTAAATCATTTAAATATTTCATGACAATAAAATAAAATAATGTGATGAAGCAGCTATTATATATATATATATATATATATAGTAAAAATATAAAATATAGAAGTCCATTTTCAAATTTTTGTTCTTACAAAATAATCTTTTTGAAGTAGTTATGTGAAAAAGAAGCATAAGAGCTATACATGCATGCATATATAAATAAATATATATATATATATATATATACTATTTCTTACTATTATTGAAAATAAAAAAAAATAAAAATTGAAAATGATTAATTTAAAAAAATTATTTTATTTCTAGCTATTCTATTCTCTCTTCTTTTCTTGTATATAATTTCACATAATATATTTCATGACAATACTATATAAATCATCAATGTGTGACGAAGCACAACTACTTTATATTATTATTTATTTTATTAATTACAAAAACGTGCTCATGATTAAGTGATTATTTTTAATTTCTTAATTAGCACTAGTTTTACTAGTTACTAGGTTGAAACAACTGGCCAATTAATCGGTTATCGGCTAGTTTTTTAAAACTTAGTTATAGTTTTCTGCAAAATCCAGTCTCGGTGGAGCTCTAGATTCGACACAACAACATGTACAACAGTTAGATTTACAGACATATCTAGTTTGAGTTCGTCCATCATCAGCTGGGTGTGACGCTGTGGAGAAAGAGTCTTGATCAGCTCAATAACGGAGCAGCCAGAGGAAACGTACTCTTCCTGACTTCTTTACAGCTGCTGATTGAAAGATTTTGGGCCGATCCGGTGACGACGGACTCAAATGAAGCAGATTCCTGAGCTGTGACGGAAACACGTTTGACAAAAGTAAATACCTTTACACGTTTTACGTATATTGAAACACTAAACAATAGGGATGTAACGATATCAAAATCTCACGATACGATAATATCGCGATATGACGTCCACGATGCGATGCTTATCGCGGTATTTAAAAAAACAAAAAAACAAAAACAAATGAAGAATTGGAATCTAATGCACTTTGAGAGTTCAGAATGAAGAGCTGCAACCCATGTTCTTAACTAAGAAAACTTCAGTCAGAAAAAGAACTTTAAAGGAGACTCAGCCCTCTTTTTATTTGTGATCTACTGTCTCAGTCTAAATTACACTCACACTGCTGTTTTAGGAAAATAAAAATAATAAAAAATAATAATAATAATAATAACAGTAATAGCCATATATTATAAAACAATTGCACTGTAAAATAAATGCAAATGAATGTTTCATAGCTATATTATTTTAGCTTTACACTACAGTAGAGAAATAACAATACTTCTTTCCTAATTTCTACACTTGAGAGAGATATTGTGAATCTGGACTGCGTTTAAACCGCTAGCTGTCAGCGATTCATGCTGCACTTTAAGCTTTTATTTAGAAGGAAAACTCCAGCTTCAGTGAAAACAGGATTACAGAAACACGTCTCACTACAAATCTAGTGAAACGCTGTCATCATCTGCCGTGAAAATAAAGCATGACTGGTGTCTGCTGCGTTCCCAAACGCGCGCTAAACTCACAGCACGTGAAATAAAGGAGTGGACTGCATTCATTCAGTGTGAACGAGTCGTTCTGAGACGCAGAAAACACCGGATCACGAGCTGATCGTCTGAACCAAGTGTGTGCTTCACTTTGAAACAGACTTGATGAAGAGGTGAAGCATATTGTGCTTTCGGTTTGAGTTCGTTTGAGATACTGTGCCAAAGCATAATGACCCAAAACACAACTTTAAACACCTTTAATGTTAGAATAAGAAGTTTAAATATATTTTAAAAACTACACACTCCTATCGTTTCATCCCGTCATGTGACCGCGATAATATCGAGACAGTTTTGCTATCATGATATTGATTATATCGTTACATCGCTAGTAATTACTGAAGTGATGATTATTTACGCAGTGTTGTTTGTGTGTCAGGGCGCTGATGGAGTGGAATATCTGCTGATTCCGGTGGATAACGGCACTCTGACAGACTTCCTGGAGAAAAACGATGTGGAGTGAAACCAGGAAAACCTCACTGCTGTCCACGGCTCAGTAAATGTGTTTAGCTGAATAGCACTTAATCTTTCTGATAAATAACTTGCCAACATTGTATCATAAAGGATTTGATACAGGAGGAAACGTGGCAGGTTTGACTGAAGACAGAGACAGCTTGTGTGGTTGCAGGGTTAAAGGTCTCTTAAAGGAACAGTTCACCCAAAAATGACATGATGCTGAAAGATTAGGATGAGTTTGCTTCTTCATCAGGTTTGTAGAAATGTAGCACTGCGTCAGTGTCTCAGCAATGGATGCTCTGCAGTGAATGGGTGCCGTCAGAATGAGAGTCTGATAAAAACATCACAATAATCCACAAGTAATCCACAGCACTCCAGTCCATCAGTTAACATCTGGAGAAGACAAAAGCTGAAACAAATCCAGCATTAAGACGATTTTAACTAAAA